GTAGCATTACGACACTCCTGATCGTACCATGGGTTTTTTGATGGTGGTCTTTGGTACCCATGTGTTGCTTTTTCTACGGTTTGTAGGGAGTGGACAATTCTTTGCCATTGTGCTTCTGTATTATTATTGGGACAAGGAATGCTATCATCTAGCGAGTGGGTAATTTGAGCGAAATAGCCTTCTACTATCTGTTGTGTTTGTAGCTTTTCGACATCGAGTTTCAGGGTTTTTTTTAGATCGCACCTTTGCTGCTACATTTAGACGAGTGTGAAACTTGGCTGCCACAAGGTAATGGTCCGAATCGATATTCGCTCCTCGGATCGATCGAACGTCTAAATCACTAGATGAATGCCTTCCGGCTATTACAACATAATTTTATTTATTACAACATAATTTTATTTCTCGTTGTTAGATCGGGAGAAATCCAAGTGGCCTTGGGTATATCGAGATGCCTGAATTTAGTGCTGCTAAGTACCATGTTTTTGCTGCCAAAAAGTCAATCAACCTCATGCCGTTTCTTCATGGAAATATTTTCTATTATGGCCAGGGCAGCGGTCATGTGCTGTCTCTAGGGGCTCGTAAAGTTTTTCGTCTGTTCATCTCTGTCTTCCGTCGGAGAATGGGCACATATAAGAATGCCGTTTATACGGATTATAGCCACTCGTTCATGTACTTGAGTGAATCTGGAGACTAGGTCTTTTATTATCCTATTAACTACAAATCCGTAGCCAAATTCATGTCTCGTGGTCAACATTTAAGGAGTTTGGTTTTCTTTTTCGTTGCTTTTTCATAGTAGGAGAGGTTTTCCGAATGTGAGGTGGCTTTCCCAGTTTCTTATGGGTGAACTCGTAGTATTAGGTTACTATTTCAACGGCTGTTGAAAGTAGCTACCCCAGGTGACACCGCGGGGAGATCAGTGTCCACAATAGAGATGAAAGAAGGACCAAGATAAGCCTTTACTTGGTATCTATCTATCACCTTTTCATTTTCTCAGAGGATAGGTTCTCTACCGATTATAGGTATTTTGAATGACCACCTAATGATTGATGATTTAAAAATTTCGTCCCCGTAGGTCTTAACGACTTTTTATACCCTACACAACTATGTTGTCAGGGTATTATAGTATTGTGCAGCCCCCAAAGTTTGTAACGCATGTATGGTGGGTTCTGGGCAATGAAGACCCCCATTGTGTTTTGGTAAAGATCTGTTAATATTTAGGGGATGAAATGGACCAAATATTAAATTTTTGTCGGTTGGACAATTTGTGTGAAAAATTACAAAATTTGTATTCTATAGCATATATATTTACACCTGAAGAACATAGACCGGAACATAGGCCGAACATCACAACACAAGCCACGCTGAAATGACATTTGTGTCAAAAATTACAAAATTTGTATTCTATAGCATATATATTTACTCCCGAAGAACATAGATCGGAACATAGGCCGAGCATCACAACACAAGCCACGCCGAAGGGATTCTGAACAAGTAATTAGAAGGGATGTACTGAATATTAGTAATGTTTGTTGACCTCTTGTCGGTCAAGACAGTGCAAATATCGCGAAATATTGCCCAGGCTCGGAATAAAAATCCGCAGTAAATTAGAGTTCCGTGGTATGTTTGGCCCCGACCGACTATACTGCTCCGCTCACTGGTTTATTTATTTTTTAATATCATTCTTAAATGTTTATCCTCGCCTGTCAACCGACGATTTCTATTGACAAATCTTCGGAAACTTTCCTCTAACTACATAACACTTTACAATAATACAACGAAGGTCAATTAAAAATTCATACAAAACCAAAATAAAAATCCATCCATTAATTGTAGACAAGTACTCTCTACTTTTGTTATTGTTGTTATTTTTGTTGTATAACTAACTACCTGAGGCTTCTTTAGAATCTTTAATTAATTGTCGACAACGTTTCTTCTTTCCTCCTTTTAAAATTTATATTCATTAGTCTAATCGCATCAAGTGACTGGCAGGCAGGCTGGGATTCTAAAAAAACCAACAACACTCCCATATTGTTGTGAGATTAATTAAAAAAAAATACTGAACATAACAATAATTATAAGTGACTGTAAATATATTTAAATTAAAAAAAAACAAAGAGAAAAAAATCCACTGTCCTTTTGTTGTTTTTGTATTTTTGTCATTAATCTTTTGAATAGTTTTTTTTAATTATTTTTTTCTATAATTAAATTAAATAGCTAATATCTAAACTAGCAGCAGATGCTGCTGTGGGGGCTACGAGTTAGTGAATGGTAAACTGATCGTCTGGCCACACACCGTTGATGATTTCGTGTTGAAAAATTCCGATTTGATTTTTGTCGTGAACAAAATACACATATTTTAATAGTTAATAACAATAAAAAAAATTAATAAAATTCATATGCACATCCACATGAAACTGGACAACAGGGAGGAAAGAGGAGGCACCTTAAATATTCATTGTAACAATGGCGTAAACAATAGATTCATTGAGGGGCAGTGATCACTTGACAGACATACATACCATCACGAAGTGAAAAACAAATATTTCAAATTCCACAAATATTTCCAACTGCCCATATTTATAGCGTCTGGTTTCACGTTTTATTTCAATTCCATTTAATGGTATTTACACCTATCTCCCCCCATTTGCAATTTATGAAGGTATGCGGGCCATTTCATAATTTTCAAGCCCTTAAATATATTTAAAAATATTGACTAGGAAATTTTAGCGCAAATTTGTTGACTTGTAATTTGCAAATAGAGAATAACTACTGATAAGAAGAAAACATTAAAGATCCATTAGCACAAGCCACACCATCATATACTGCATCAAATACCAATAGTTTTTCTTTCATTGGAGGCAAAATTTTAGATAGCGTACCCTATTAAATACTGAACATGAAAAATTGGGCCAGGAACTTTAACATACCGAAAATTTTGCGAAACCGGTCTATGAAGAAATTTGTTATTCGCCAGAATTTAAAATGACAAATTACAATCACTTCTTCGGTGAAAAAAATCCGGTGAACACCTTAAAAATTCTGAAAAGTGTAGAGAGGGGCTCAGACGGAAGACAAAGATAAACAGAACAAAGACTTTTTTACGAGCGCCACCGCTGCCGTGGCCATGACATTCAAATTTTGTAAGGAGATTTTAATGCAAAAATCGGAAAGGGAAAATATTTTTGGTCCCACCGTCGGAAAATTCAGTCTCCATTGACTTCGCGGCAGCAAAACACATGGTAGTTAGCAGCACCAGATTCAAGCATCTCTATATAGACAAGGTCACCTGGACTCCTCTCCTATTCAAGCAACGAGAAATCAAATTGATAATGTTGTGATAGACGGAAGACATTCATCCAGTATTTTAGACGTCCGTCCCATAGATACGAGGAACGAATATCGATTCGGATCACTACCCTGCAGCAGTAAAGTTTTCGCACTCGTCTAAATGTAGCAATGGTGCGATCTAACACAACACGGAAACTCGACGTCGAATTGCTGCAAACACAAAAGGAAGCAGAAGACTACTCCGCTCAACTTACCCACTTGCTTGACGAAAGCACTCCTTGCCCCGATAATAATATAGAATTACAATGGCCAAGAATTGCCAACTCCCTACAAACTGCAGCAAAAGCAAAAAATTGGGTACCAAAAACCACCATCAAGTAACCCATGGTACGATCAGGAGTGTCGTAATTCTACTGATGTGAAAAACACAGCGTATAGGGTAACCCTGGAGACAATAGCAACGCGTAATGTCAGAGAGAATTATCGGGAGAAAAGAAGAGAGGAAAAACGTAATTTATGAAAAAATAAGAAAGAACAAGGAAATCGTGACCGTCAGCAAATCGATATGTACAGAAGTCAAATTGAAGTCCGGATATGTTACCAACGAGTATAACACCAGATAGCGTGTTGAGGATCTGGAAGGAGCATTTTGTAAAGCTTCTGGTATCAAATAGTGGGTCTGAAAAATATCCCAGAACCTATAAGAGATGACGGTAGATTGTATGACACCTAGCCAAGATGAGGTCAGAGTAGAAATTAATCCGCTGAATAACAACATTCCTGAATACGGCTATTCAGGATAACTTTAAGTGGCACAATGTCAGCAGTTAAAGTCAAAAAGGACATCTCGAATCCATTTTATAACGAACTAGGATTCAAAGTGACAGTTTGTAGTCTTACTTATTTAACATCCTGCTGGAAAAGGTCATACGAGATGCAAATGTGAACAGAAATTGCACTCTATACACCATCATATGTTATTCGCGTACGCTAACAACATCGACGTAAAGGGCCGAACATAGCGAGCGGTAACAGACACAGGCTATACCATCTATTATCGAACATCGACATAGTCAGAAGGATGAAGCTGCAGCGACTACATGGATTACATGATAAAAGCGAGCCAAGTGATGGTTCATGCAGAATGGGAAGGCCACGAATCCGATGGAAAGATCAAGTAGAAAACATCTCGGTATTTCAAATTGGAAAAGATGCGCACAAGATTGACGCGCTTAGAAATATTTTGTAAGCCCGGCATATGGAAAACCCGTTCTGTCACAAGCTAGCTAAGTAAGTAAAGTAAGAGGGGGCATTTATTTGGCAGCTATGACCAAATATGGGCATAATCGAAAATCCGGTATGCTAAATTGCAACCACTTCGGTGGTAAATTTTGTGGCTGAAAACTTTAAAATTCCATGAATGGGCTTGACATTAATATAAGGGCTATAATATGGACCTATATCGAAAATTTTCGACATATAGCTATTTCATCCTCCAAGGAAATTAAAATCGCTGTGGGGATCATAACAGGTTACTGCAGGATTGGATCTCTCACTTCCAAATGGGACATTAACGGAGTGAATTATTGCCGTCTACTATTTCCTCTTTTCCACTTTCCAAATTTTCTTTAAATTAAATTTAAATACAAAATGTCTCTAAATTGTTCTTCCTCTTCTTGCCTTGCAGATTACCAACCCCCTCAATATTGAAACGTTGATCGTTTAGAGTCTAGTACAGCATGGAGAAAACGGCGAAAATATCACAATTAAAGTTTTGGAATAAACAGAACAACAGCACAAGCAAGGACAAAGACAAGGATGCTGATGCAGTAACGGAAACTAAGAACGGTGCTAACAAAGATGATTCGAAGGCAGGAAAGCGCAACTGGTTGCATACACCCGAAGCCCTTATCAATGGTCATGTAGTCTATCTAGTCAAAGTAAGTCGGAACATTGTTTTTTTTTTTTAATCAACAAAAATCGCAAAACTAATCTTCCGATCTCTTCTTTTCAGTTCTTTGGCAATGTCCCCGTGGACCAACCCAAGGGTATTGAAGTCGTCAAGGATACCATACGTAAACTGCAATTTGCCCAACAGATGAAGAAGGCAGAAACGGGTACACAGGAGAAATTCAAAAAAGTCGAAATCACCATTAGTGTCGATGGTGTAGCCGTGCAGGAGCCACGCACCCAAAAGATTCTCCATCAATTTCCGCTGCACAATATCTCGTATTGTGCCGACGAGAAAGGTGTCAAGAAATTCTTTAGTTTTATTGCGAAAACTGTAAAGCCCGCAACGGGAGATACGAGCAGCTCCAATGGTCGCGGCAGTAGTCCCGACGGTTCGACCCAGTCGTCATCAACCACCGAAGATACACATGAATGTTTTGTGTTCATTTCGAATAAGTTGGCATCGGATATAACATTGACCATCGGTCAGGCATTTGAATTGGCATTTAGGTAAGAAAGACCAACGATTTTGCCCATAGACAACATTTTCGGAAGGACTTCTCATGGTAGATAAGATAGAAACCCAAATCACATTCGCATAAAAGACCCGATGTGTTTATTTATAAAAGTCTCGAAGATCTTCTCATAGTAGATAAAAATGGTTTCTATTATAAGACCCTTAATTATTCTCATAGAAGTTCCGAAGTTCATCTAATAGAAATCTCAAAGATGACCAAGAGCTTTTTCCATAGAAGACCAGAAGATCTCAAAGAATACTCGACATTCTGCTTAAAGAAATTCCGAATGTT